TGTTTGTTTGTTTGTTTGTTTGTTTGTTTGTTTGTTTGTTTGTTTGTGTGTGTGTCCACCTTGGAGTCATAGGTTGTCCTCGGGCTCTTTAGCAGGGAAGTGCTGCATGATTGTGAGACCGCCCTCTACGAAGCTACCACAATCATGGGATACCGAGTCTGATCAACTCGGCGCTTGTGGAGACTTTGGAGACGGTTGGATCCTACTGCACAAGACCTGTTCTATTCAAGCAATTTTTCAGTCAGGCCTTCATGGGAGGCGATGCAGTCCGGCTTTAACAATTTCTCATCTGTCGAATCTGTGTGTTTGTGGTTGTAACCCTTGGACTCAGACGGAAGTTTTGATTTGGTCTTGCAGCAGGGGGGATCAGGCTTCCAGTGACTGACTTGATCCACTGGAAGGGAAGTGGTTGGGAGCTCAACCATGTATTGTTCACTTTAGCGGCTGCCCCGTCTCACCAGCAAGCCAAAGTCGGTTCTGTTATAGAACTGTTTAAATGTATATCTCACTTCACTATTGGACTCAGAATGTAACATTCCACCCTTTCTGCACCACTAAGGCTTCTTCACTTACCAAGGTTTCGGTGGCACTCCAACCGTGTGTGCCCTTGGGGTGATGACTTCAGATAGGGTAGGCAAACTGCTGCTGTAAATGCTGGGAATACCATGTCAGACTTCAATGTCCACACGCAGGTCTATTCTACAGTCGGTTTGAGGCAATGGCAAAACAATGCCTTTCTGCTTGTAATGGCGAAGGAATCAAAGGAGTATATGATGATGATATGATGATGCCACGAACCTCGTCAACAGGAAATTGTTTGGACTTGAACGGCTGAACTTGCTTAAAATATCAAGGTAAGGCAACAAACTGATGCCAGAATCTGTTGTGAATGGCCGGCATATAGTGTCAATTCTTTTGGGAGGTGAGACACAGGCTTGACTTAGTTCTTCAATATCGGGCAACTTTTTTTGCTGTAGTTGTTCGGGGCCACGACTTAGCAGGAGTGCCATGGGGAAGATGCGTGCATGATGTGGTTCACCGCGTTGAGCATGGTGTTGAAGTGATCACCGAAAGGACGAGACCGATCGATCCGTCTCAGTTGGGGCTCCAAGCGGATCAGATCAGCCTGGCGGCGGTCCTGGACCTCTTGGCACGGCAGGGGCAAGCGACCGAGGCAGCAGAGCTGGTGGAGGCCGATGAGATCAGCGAATCAGGTGTAATGTAGACGCTTGATTAATCAACCCCCCATATGAAGAGGATGTCCAATTCAATTTCGGGGGGGTGATTGATGGCACAAGTTACAATGTTAGGTGGTATATGGACCCGCCATATTATCATATAAAATAGACATATTTATATATATACCACATATTTGGGGTGCCAGTGCCATCGAGCCTCTGAAACCACTAGAATTATCAGATGTGTGCGATGACCTGTGGGGAGTGTTGTTGAAATTTGACGTATGGAGATCGGGACCGTTTTTTTGGTTGAATTTCAGTGTTTATATATGTTTAGGTTTGTCTTATGACCCATTTGAAATTTGAAGAGGTTGTCGAATCTGCCAGCTGCTCGTTCTCCCAAATGTTATTCAATGCATGCCTCAAATGTAAGAAGATTGCACACCGGGGTGCGGTTTCCTGCACTGTGGGACTCCTACCAGCACGGTCTTTTGTGAAGATATTCACATCATCTACAGCAACTTTGACTCAGTAGCATTTAGCTAGCAAGTATATTTGTTGTGTTAAAACGGCATGAATCGCAGTCACAGGAACGTGTTGTTTGCTGCAGGTAACGCGAACACTTTATGATGATGTCCACCGGCATTGGGTGTTACAGTAGTACCAAACACGATGGACACCTATGGACCTATGGACCTATGAGCCATCCAATCATTGTCTATTCATTCAATTTGATGAGCACGCAAAAGGCAAGGCATCGGGATGGAAGATGGCCGAGGAGGTCTGGTCCACGAAGCAGTAAGCTAAGCTTGGTCCAAGCCGGTGCGTAGGCAAGCACCAACTTCCCGGAAAGGCATGCAGCAGTGGGAAAGGCATGGTAGGTGTCGGACCAGACAGGTGAATATGTTTGGCGCGACCGGTTGATTTCCACGAAACGCTGGCAGGCATCCAATGTGGTGCCGGACCAAAAGACCTTGGGCACCATGGTCAAGGTGGATCGATCCTGATCCGATCGTTCTATTATAGATGTTTGTTGTGTTGGCTTGACATGCTCTCTAGAAGTGAATACCTTTTCCTAGTGAAGTAAAAGCCAGAGGGAACCTAGCATAGCTTTCGCGACCTCTCCGGCGATCTAGAAGTCCAAAGACTATACTTTTTCCTTTACGTGAAAAGGGAAATACCGTTCAGATCCTTTCAGGCCATGGCCTTTTTTGTGGTCTTGGACTCTTGGACTCCCAGGGTACATACTATGCGTGTGTGTGTGTGTAACCTTTGGAGTCACAAGGTTCCTGATAGAATGTTTATTTGCATTTTAAGCAGGGGCGTGCGACACTCTTATCCCAACACACGCAACGAAGCTGTGGATAAGAGTGGGAAGGGAAACTTGGCCAGTTTCCTGTACCTGCGATTTGAACTGTTGGCAAAGCTGCGACTCCACTCTCCAGTAAAGCGCTACTGAGCTCGGCAGTCATGAGCGGACGTCGTCATCTTGGTCGATCCGCGATCATCGTTTTTTGACTTGAGCTTTGGGCCTCATCTTCGTTTCAGGACCTCCAGGACCCACAGGTTTCGATGTTCCTCTCAGGATTTTTGTTTCTTAGGTTGCCGTGTGGGGAGTGGTATTCACATCCGTACGCATAATCTCAAGTGTGTCTGGCTTCATGCCAGCCCAGGGTGACCCCGAGGAGTGGCCCCTGTGGACCCGTCGAACGGGGGTTTGTCGAACGTATCCCCTGCCCGGATACA